ACCTCGTTGGCTCTCCGTTTTGCTGAGGTGAGGTCAAGTGAATGACCACACTGGAATCCTGTATGCGTGTTTCGGAGACACAGCACACGTCAATGGTAAGAGACTCTAGGGTTTTAGCCAAGGAAGCCTGCTGACCGATTTGACATAGGGTTCGTACGTTGAAGGCTCCAATGTGTAGTTTGGAGCGAGGTTTCAGTAGACCTGGGACAGTATTTTGCGCACTAGAATCGTTGGCTATGGTGACACTTGAGGTGGAAGCCGAGAGAGGAAATTTAAAGTTGAAAGTCGATGTAGGAGGAATAATAGGAATTGAAGAGGGAGGTTGATTATGAATACAGTGGTCTTGAGTGCTGTTAGAGGTATGAGGGCGGTTTTCACTTCCCGGTTGCCCACACCGTGGAAGGGTTGTTCTGGAGGTACCTGTAAAGGAATTTGGATTAAACGTGGTCTTAGTGACCTGAGAGCGTGACCGCAGTGCCCAAGGGACAACAGCTAGAGGTCGGTCACACACGACCTTGTTATGGGTAATTTTTGTGTTAGCTCCGTACTTATTGAGACCTTACCGCCGGAGACGGATATCCGTGGGATAAGGCGAGGTGTGCATTTTTAGGGTCGACCTTTTCTAACCCCACCCCTCCTTGTGGGAAGGCAGCATCGCTGTCATGCTGGTTGTCTGAAAGAAACACCTTACTGCTGTCACACCTCTGTACAGTCAGCAGTACGACTTCGCCTTCGGACTTTGGGTTTGTTGCTTTAAGTCTTACCGCTCCTCAACCGACCTGTCTGACGTGGTAGGACCTTGAGGAACGGTTGTTCCAGCCAGTATAGCTCGGTTGCTTCATCACGATAGGCAAGCCCGACCACCACGTCAAGGTAGCAACAACGGTCGGGTAACCCGTAAGATTAGGGAGAAACACTGGATCTCAGCAGCATCTACCGCACTGATAGATGCTCGGAAAGTCATTCCACCTGGCTCTGAACATAATGAAGAGCGGAGTCAGCTTAAGCGCAAGCTGACAAGAAGCCTACGCAATGATTACGAACAGTGGTGGGTAGCGAAAGCAAGAGAGATGGAAAAGGCAGCGGCAATAGGTAATAGCAGACAATTGTTCAAACTCGTTAAGGAAACAGGAATTAGGAACCCGACCGTTAGCGAAACAATCTCAGAGAAAGATGGACATATTATTCATTCTCAATCCAGGAGATTGGATCGATGGGCAGAACACTTTAGGGATCAGTTCAACTGGCCTTGTAGGTCCTCCGTCCCTCTACGAAGTTGAAAAAGCCATAAGAAATCTGAAGCGAGGAAGAGCAGCAGGCCCTGACAGGTTTACTCCTGAGATTTTTAAGGATCGTGGTCCAGTATTAGCAGTGAAATTAACTGAGGTCTTAGGTAGAATTTGGGAACTGGACACAATCCCATCTGACTGGTCTCAATCACTGATTGTGCCAGTCTATAAGAAAGGACAAAAGTCCTCTTGCGACAATCATAGAGGAATCAGTTTGACTAATATATTGTCCAAAATATTAGCTTCAATAATACTTCGACGCATAACTAAAGCTCGTGAAGAGCAGACTAGAAAAAACCAGGCTGGTTTTCGACCTGGACGTGGTTGTATAGACCAGATATTCACACTACGTCAGGTTCTAGAACATAGACACACATTCAGACGCCCCACAATCGCAGTATTTCTCGACCTTAAGGCGGCATTCGACTCTGTTGATCGTAAGGTTCTATGGCAGTGTTTGTCACTGAAAGGAGTACCAAAGAAGTACATTAACCTTATACAGGCTCTCTACTAGAACACAACTAGTAGAGTGAGAGGTTATGGCGAACTGTCATCAGCAGTGATTACCTCAAGTGGTAATCGTCACGGCTGTCCACTCTCTCCATTCTTTTTCAACTTTGTCATTGACGTACTTTTAGAGATAACACTTTCCTCATCTAAATTTACAGGGGTTGAGCTTCTACCGGGAGGTTCAATTGTTGACTTAGAATATGCTGATGACATAGTTTTATTTGGCGAAGACGCTGACAAAATGCAGAGTCTTCTGACCACTCTAAGCAACAATGCAAGCATGTTCGGGATGCGATTCCGCCCCCCTCGAAATGCAAAATGTTGCTTTAGGATTGGGTTGCATTGACACCCGAACTAATGATAGGAAGTGAAGTAATTGAGTGTGTCGACCGCTTCACTTGTCTGGGAAGTCTCATCAGCCATTGTGGTCTGGTGTGTGACGAAATCTCAGCACGGATACAGAAGGCTTGACTAGCTTTTGCCAACTTGCGTCATTTATGACGTAGGCGAGATATCCGTCTATCAACCGAAGGAAGTGTTTACTACGCAGCAGTTCGTTCCGTCCTACTTTATGGCTGTGAAACATGGCCGGTAAGAGTGGAGGATATCCGTAGGTTACTAGCATTTGATCGAAGGTGTCTTCGAAATATTGCTCGTATATCCTGGGACCATCGAGTAAGTAATCCAGTTGTTAGGAAACGGGTACTAGGTAAGGATGGCAAATCAATTGATGACGTAGTGAAACTTCATCAGCTGAAATGGCTGGAACATGTGTTACGTATGCCCAACGACCGACTGCCTCAACGTGCTATGTTCAATGGTATAGGAGTAGGTTGGAAGAAAGCTAGGGGCGGCCATACCAAAACATGGCACAAGTCCATGAAGTCACTGACAAGTGGTCTGAGTCATGTCTGGTTGGGGACAGCGAGATGATAGCAACCGATGGTTAGAGACCCTTAATGACATGGCTCAAAATCGTTTGCAATGGCGCAGGTGCATACACTCTTTGTGTTCTCCCAAATTTTGATCTCCTTATTCCTCCTTGTCTCTTTTTTTCTCTTCCCAAATTTATTTCACTGTATTATACTCTTTAAGTAACATCTCCAAACTCTAATCTTCCCGATAACTGCTTATACTCTTATTACCTCTACCACTACGGGATTTGAATCGACCACTGCATCTCTGTGTTAATATGGTGTGGCAACTAGAACTGATGTACGTACGTACGAAGTTTTACGTTGTTACTGACTGACTGACTTTTTCCATTGTTCTATTCGAGCAGTGGGGTTAGACAGGGTTGACCAATCTCACCATTCCTCTTCAACTTTGCTATCGATGACATTCTGGAAACAGCTCTGATGGATGTAAGTAACGGCGATGTGGATCTGTTGCCTGGAGAAAGACTTATCGACCTTGAGTATGCGGATGATATTGTCTTACTGTGTGATAATACCCAAGCCATGCAATCCGCACTTAGTCAGTTGGCAATCAGTGTCCGTAGGTACGGTGTGTACTTTGCACCTTCGAAGTGCAAATTACTTCTACGAGACCGGCAGGATTCTAATCCTGTACTCACTCTGGATGGCAAGCAGATAGACGTAGTCGAGAAGTTCGTGTATCTAGGTAGCTGCATAAGTGCTGGTGGTGGCGCAAGTGATGAGATCATTGCATGTATAGTGAAAGCCAGAGCGGCTTATGCCAATCTGGGCCATCTTTGGCGCCTTCGTGATGTTAGTCTGGCTGTAAAAGGTCGGATCCACAACGCATCAATGAAAGCAGTTCTGCTCTATGTTTGCGAAACGTGGCCTCTCCGAGTTGATGATGTTAGACGACTCTCTGTGTTCGATCATCACTGTCTCCGAAGGATTGCTGACATTCAGTGGCAACACCATGTCAGTAATGCAGAGGTTCAGCATCGTGTGTTCGGGCACAGAGACGATAATGCGATTGGTGTCACCATCTTGAAACACCGACTTCGATGGCTTGGACATGTTTTACGAATGTCGTCCCAGAGAATCCCACGTCGTGCATTATTTGCCGACGCTGGGACTGGTTGGAAGAAGCGGAGAGGTGGTCAGTGTATGACATGGTGTCGTGGCATGAAAGAAAGCTGCAAAGGGCTGGCTTGTGTTGGTCCTTCACGACTCCCTGGTTGGGGTCCTAGAGATGGTGCAACACAGTGGCTAGGAACGTTATCAGATATGGCTCAGAATAGAAGCCAGTGTCAATCCTTCTGTAACTTTCTTTTACTTTCTTCATAAAAAGTGGTAGCTTCTTCCTTAACTGAAAGATTTCTGATTGTACCTTTTCGTTTCCCCCATTATTATTATTACACTACCTTGCACTAATCTGTGCGTTGTTTTTCCTTAAGCCCCTTGCTTTTTTCCTTCCTCACTTCAAATTCTCATTGTTTTGTGTGGCGCATATGTATTTGGTGCCCTTTTGTACCAATATTTGTGTTCAAATAAATAAATAATAATAAATAAATAGCTACAGAGTGATTAACAAAAGCCCAGTACAAGTATTCTCGGAAATTGTGGGCCAATGTACGTTGACCAGGGTGTTAATCATCAAACAATTATCAATTAGACACTTCTTCAAGTGAAGGAACAAGAAGACATGCGAAAATAATTCACATGTAAACGAGCTCATACAGAAGTGGAGAAAATGATGAAGGCATTTAGGTGTTACGATTGATGGGTATAAACGTTAAGTAAATTAATGAACAGCGATCGGGTTTTATAACGCACCTGTGCGAGAACCCCCTTAAGTATCACATTCTAACTACAGGTTCGCATCACATTCAAGATTCTGAAAGATCTGAGTGTCCAACGAAGAGAAACAGTGCGTTTCAGTCCCTTCTAACTATACGATAAGTAAAAAAAATTAAGCTATTAATTTTATCTGATAGCAAAACGAGAAGTGATCTTAAATTGACATTCAATATCTCACGTAGTGCTTTATCCCTTTGTTACCTTTACGATTACTTTCCAATGCGACTACGAAGGGCTCAGGAACTGCAACAGAAGTCAGATTGTGACTTCATTTCTCTCTCCCAGAAATCAACGACTGAAAACCAGCAAAATTAAGTGGTATTACACATAGTAGACAAACACCTCACAAGAGAAATTTGATTTCCACAGTAGGAAATAATACAGAAATCAACACAAGTGTTATAACTTGACTAAGCATTTAACTTACGAATTGACAAAGTGGATTTACTAATTATGCCAAACCAGAGCATTTCTATTTAAGTGAAATTACATTTAGGTAGAATATCCGCCCAACAAAACAATCTGAAAACTTACGTAGCACACTCTTTAAAAGTTACGCGTGACTATTCGGAAGTTTAAATCTATTGTACATGGGTTATGTGCTCCCGCTCTATCTGGTTGTCAATATTTTCTTATTTCCACACAGATGTCCTAACCTTTCCTAAAATTCGCTGAGGTGAGTTCGTGGAAAAACAAAGTTCCCATCGAATACGACCTTCTGAGAAACTAGTGAACTGTTTGACATCCATAGCAGTGACAAATTTTTCTGACGTGTTTTTCAACATATCTAAGATTCGACATAACATAACATTTCACATTAGTATTACGGCTGAATGGTCGGTGTAATTATACGTGATGTTATATGTTAATATTATTTTCAGGCGGGAGCAAGTACACGCCATTTTAACATGCATGACCTACAATTTACAACATTCGTTTGTATAGAAAATGCTTTCAAAGTAGGGTTATTAAACATATGGAGTCAATAAAAATTGAAGCAGTACATTCCTACAAATGTCCCATAGGATTAATAATTAAGTTTATATTTTATTATTACACCGTTTAAAAATGGCATCGTGTTCATGCCGCGACTATGACAAACGCACACAATGTTTGAACTCGTTATTGTCGTGCTGGGATTCTGGTCCTGCTAGGTATTTTAGCAATGCAACTATTTTAGAAGTTTGTAGATGGTATAAAGTAGGTATAATTAGTGTTTTGTATGTGCTGAGACCATCAAAATGCGTACATTTATTTCGTTTTAGGACCAAGAGGCTTCAAAGCTAGGCCCTAAGGGCATGATGCTTAAAGAGTGAAATTATGGAACATTAAGGCCTTTGAAAATAGATCTTAAATAATGTTTAACAGTTTGTAGTGGAATAGATAGTGGTATGATAATTTAGTAGATAAAACTCATACTATCTGGTGCTGCAAAAGTGAATTGTGGTTAGAGCCTTCAAATAAGAGAACACAGTAATGAGTAACAATGAGTTATGATAGGTCAGAAGATGGAATAGGTTCAAATGATGGAAGACAACTGGAAGATAGGTTAAAGAAAGCTGTTTATTAGAATGGGATGCGCATAAAAAGAGTAAAATGTTCAAAAATACTAGCCACCATAACTTTTATAGTCTGCTTCTTTGTCATCTCATTTTCATTTGATGCCAACGGCGAGGTTATAATGTAAAAGACTGAGTTAGAATGGTGTAGGCTATCTTAGTCAAATAGCAAATTTAACATAAAGCCGGAGTAGTGAGCGTAAGAGAGCAACTTCAGCATCACCGGACGGCTGCTTCGTCCTCGGCCACAAATATCATGAAACAAACAAAATATACAAACAAATAAAAGGTTATTGCCAAAGAGTTATCACTGAGTACCAATGGTTGAAAATTGCAATCATCATTAAACTAACCCACATTTTATGCAAAAGATTGCTAGTTTTAGTTTCGTCACGCGGTGAAAGGTCAACTTAGTTGTTTTCTGATCTCAGAGTTGGTCGTAAACATACCTATTTTGAAATAAACAAGAGTATTATATCGAATATAATTTAACACTATACCGATTAGTCTGATGATAAAATTGCATTTGAACATTAATCAATAAGTTTATGTATAACCGTTCGAAGAAACGGAAATTTACCACAGACAAATAGTTATGGGCTGTGTAAATGTAAGCCCAGCCTACCAACTTAGATTTCATACTATGATCCACAAAATGGTCTTCCATATGTAGCTGGATTATTAGACCCTATACATCTGAGTTGAAAAGGAATAATGACTGCCCTGCATGCGTAATCTCAATTTGAATGTTTATCTCTCAAGAACTCTCAAGTTTGATTTTAGGTAACCTAGCGTAAAGTCAGTCAATCGATTAACATTCAGTGAAACGCCTCCCAAGTAGAGATGCGTTCACTTTCGGATAATTTTCAGTTTTAGCTCACTGGTCTTACATGGTGTGTTTATAACCACTAAGGTGCTTAGGATACTGCAGACATAACTGAACGGTACAATGCTGCTTTTCAGGAACCCTAACAATTATACTCCAAAGAAATGTAAAATAAAAAGGGGTTAAAGACCCCGGAAACAATATGTTTGAATAAAATACCAAATAGAAGAATCATCAGACTATTGAGTTGTCAACTTAGGGAATAAGATGTGTTTACTCGAGGGCAGTGTAAAGGTATCGTCATGATGTTTGACCAGGAGCCTTTAGCTAGTAGGGTATGTCAAAAATGACAAGTCCAAAAGTGTTTTAGCCCTATTTCTATGTGTCTTAGACGTTAAATTCCTAGTAAATGTATATGTTTCGTCTGTTTACAGTCCACTGAATACTGACCAACATTCTACTTGGTTTAGATGTGAATAGCTGTTTACTGATCACCAAGTGACATCAGCCAAAATGCTATTTAGCCAAAAGGATGAATGAGTTTTGCTTACAAGTTGTCATAACGAAATTTCTTAAGATTATTGGTGTACCTCTTGGTGAAACTACGATGTAGACAAAAATAAAGATTATGAAGAAGTTTATTGATAGATCATTGCTTCTGGTATAGGAAGAACAACATTTGATGCAGAAAAAACAGTTTACAAGTCGTACATATAATGAAGTTAAAAATATAACCACAAAGAACTTATAGCAAACAGTTCCTGTTACGTCTCCACACTCACATATACTCCGAGCCACGTTTTTTTATCGTAAAACAGACTACAAAGAAATAAACATTGAAGAAACTGTGGTGTATGTAGCGTGTGTCACGCTATGATGTATTCAAAACAGAAGAGAGATCGAAGTCATGCAATTTTAAACAACCTTACAAACATTTGTGGTAAATGTATAAACTACGAGAATTAACAAAGTAAATGCAAATAATATCAGAAACTATTTACAAAACAAGTTTGCCGTGCCTGTCTCTACAATTGGATTCAGTCCAGTTTTGAAACGCCTGTTCTGTATTATATGTTGAAACACCTCGCCCACATCGACTGACGTCTCTTGAACATGAAACACTACAAACATTACTGGGTATTTATAAGACAAAACAAATGGGTATTTATTGCCGTTATACTTTGTTAACTGGAGTAAGTATAACTAACATTTAAGGTGGAAGCTTAAAACTCACCAGTTTTTTGACATTTCATTTTAAGCTTTGGTAAAACAATGATTTACGCGTTTACATCACTAGAACTGATATTATGTTGTTTACTGAACCTTATCAAGTTCTAAATAAACGTGGTGAGGTTCAGTCGGTTAAATGGTATCCGAAACCAAGTTACGAAGCAACAATCGAGACGACGTACACACTACAAAACAGAGAAAGGTTAGTTAATGTTTTCTCAATCATTTTTTTGTCACTTCGGTATCAGACCACTTAAATATGAGGATGTCTAAAATCCATGCAGCTCAACCAACACAACAATTAAAATACGGAAAGGCAGCTTCATGACAGGTCGTTGAAATGAAACGGCAGGAGGCTAACATAACTTTCTTACTGTCACTTAAACGCGTACATGGTTCATCTTTTACTAGAAGCTCAATAGTTGTACTCGACAATCGTTGTACTGAAAAAAGAGAAAAATGGCCAGAAAAGCCAGGAACAAGAAGTGATTTCTAAAGCATAGTCGTTGACGATGAAACAAACTAAGTTTTGCTTAATTAGCAGGTGGAACTCAAACCAATCAGCCTACAAAATTAAACTTTTATGTCAGATACTTCACTAGGTAAAACTCTAAGTATAGTGTTTCGAAGCCTGGGAATCAATATTTCTGTGAAGAAACAGTACTTCAATATGTACAAACCATATACGTAGAATAATCTTACTGACTGGTGAAATACTCATGGAATTTAAGGTATTTAATTCAATTGATCTTAGTCCTACCACCTTAAGTTCTTGTTTAACGTGGTTGCAACCAGACGAATACGTCATGTAAAATACATGAAAGGCGGAAATGTTAATTGGGGCGTCGAATTAATTGACGTGTACTTAAAACTAAGATAACTCCGCCTGGAGCCCTTTTGGGCTACTGCCGGTCCCAAGCCCGGATAAAGGAGGAGGGTTGGGCATGGAGTTAGTGACCCCTTCCCGTAGAAAACTAACCCGCTAAAAAAACTCTAATCAGAAGATTTAAAACAAGAATGCGTGAGGGCTCAACCAAAACAAGAACAGATTTAAGTCAACACAAATGTTAACTTTGCGTGTACAAATAAAAAAACGGAAACATGACCAAGGACAAAATGTACCCCAAATCAATAAAATTATCACACTGAATATTAAAGGACCAATGTTATTTGGTGACCTTGAATGAGAACACTACAAACAAGTTCATTGAAAGTCCAAGGTGTCCACAAACTCCTTAACGTTAGGGGATGTTTGACAACTTTCCAATCCTGCGTCGAAGATAAAAATCTGGAAAACTATCCTACGTACTGTAGTTTGTCTCGAAAATTTTGTGTCCAACACCTATTTGGCATAAAAAGCCGGCGACCGGATTTGAGAAAGCGGAGAAAGTGATTACGAAATCTAATTAGCTAGTAAAGTGAACATTGGGAGTGACTAGTTAGTGGTCAATCGAAATGCAATCAAAGTCGATACATACAAACAATACACACTGAGAATCAAATTGTTACATGGAACGTCGCAGAGACAAAATTGATTAGCTTACAAAATATAACGAAATTTTGTCCATAAAATTTAACAAACCATAAGTGATGTACCTTGAACCATAAGTAGGAACAAGAACTTCAGTTCCGAATGCTCGGTGACTTTATGTTTTACCTGAACGAATAACTGCCGTGTTGATTTCTGCAGTTGGAGATTTGCACTTGATACTCCGACTGTGAATTTCAGCTATACCTGAAGAAGTCAAGTCATTTGTTTATAGCAAGTATTTTTACAAGATCATAACCAGGAACTGATAGTGAATAAGAATAAATAGCCTTACAGATGGGTATCATTATCGCCCTTGAGAGTGAGATAATTGTAGAACACATGGGGTAAAGAGACTAAGTACAAACCGTCTAAACTCTCTGACAACAAAGCTGAATGATTATACACTTAATTTTAATTACAATGA